CCCCCCCCCCCCAGGGATCAAACTCCAGTGGGGACAGAGAGGAGATGAACAAGCAAACAAAAATGTATGAGGCACAATATAAGGCAGAACAAGAAAAGTAAAGAGGGTGATGTTTTACTTAAGTTGGTCAGAGAAGGCCGTTCCTGTGACATTAAAACCGAGGAGACACAGGAAGGGAGGAAGGAAGGAGGGAAGGAGTGAAGGGACAAAAGGATTTCAGGCAAAAAAATATGTCAGAGAGAGCCACAGAGAGTAAGTAAGGGCTCTGAGGCAGAAGTACGTGTAGTAGGGAGATTAACTGGCTCCGGAAAAATCCACGTCCTGATTTTTGGAGCCTAAAATACGTTAAGTATATGACAAAGAGGAATTAAGGCTGCAGATGGAAATTAAGGCTGCTAATCAGCTGACCTTAAAATGGAAGACTATTTTCTATTGCCCAGGTGGACTCAAGGCAATCAAGAGGATCCTTCAAAGTGCAAGAAAGCTACGGAAGAAGGGCGGAGGAAGGCAATGCGACCACAAGAGAACGGGCAGGGAGAAGCAGGGTGCTGGCAGTGAAGACGAAAGAAAGGGGCCGTAAGTTCAAAAACGGGGGGTAACCTCTAGAAGCTGAAAAAGACACAGATCCTCCCCTAGAGCCTCCAAAAAGAAATGCAAGTGTGCAGACATCTCAACTGTAGCCTGGTTAAGAACCATGCCACACTTCTGACCCAGAGAAGCGTAATCAACCGTGTTGCTCTAGGCCATGAAGTGCGTGGCAGTTTGTTCCGGCAGCAGGCGCTAGAGCGTCCCTGGCAGGTCTGGGAGCCCCGAGGGGCATGGTGTGGGTGGACGAGGCGGAGCAAGAGGAAGGGGATGGGCGAGGTATTCAGAGAGGAAGTGGGGGACGGGGAGCACACCATGGAGGACTCAAGCCACTTCGAGAGGTTTCAACTCCGGGAAAAATAAGCCCCAAAGGGTCTTGAGCAGAGGAACGGGGCTCTGACTTCCAGTTCCTACGGATCACACGGGCTGCTACGCGGAGAACAGACAAACAAGAAGAAGCGTGGAAACAGGCAAGCGGCTGAAAGGATTCAAGAAACAGCTTAGAAGTTTGGACCAGGTGACAGCAAAGGGGGCGGAACAGGAGAACACCTACGAGGACTCCCACCTGCTTGGCTCTTACCTGATTTCTCTCGTCTGTGGCTTGCTAGCATCATCCAAAGCGTTTTTACCTTCTCTAAGCGGAATGTATCATGTTTGAAGAGGCGGGGCTTTGTGAGCATACAAAGTCCGTATTTAAAACGAACACATTAGGGGCGCCTGGGTGGCTCAGTTGGTTAAGGATCTAACTTTGGCTCAGCGCATGATGTCATGGTTTGTGAGCTCGAACCCACTTCAGATCCCCTCTCTCCTTCTCTCTGCCCCTCTCCCATTCACGTGCTTGAGCACACATGCTCTCTCTCTCAAAACTAGAAAGACATTTAGAAATAAATAGAACGCACACACTAAAGGTACAATCAACGGAACATTTGGATTCCTGCACATACTGATCAATTAATCAAAACCAGCATTTTTCAAACATTTTTAAAAACATGGCCCATATTGGGGCACCTGGGTGGCTCAGTCGGTTAAGCCTCCAACTTCGGCTCAGGCCATGATCTCGCGGTTTGTGGGTTCGAGCCCCGAGTCGGGCTCTGTGCTGACTGCTCAGAGCCTGGAGCCTTCTTCGGATTCTGTGTCTCCCTCCTTCTCTGCACCTCCCCCGCTCACACTCTGTGTCTCTCTCTCAAAAATAAACACTAAAAAAAAGTAAAAAAAACAAACAAACATGGCCCGTATTTCAAGACCCAGACATACATGCAGAAACGTGCATTACAAGCACCTATTTCTAACCAATGTCTATTTTCACTAAATCTCCCACTGGGCTCCTACACCACTGACAAAATTGGCGGGAGATCTTGCTGCAATATATTCTGTTCTAATAAACTGAGTTTTTCCACTTTATGTTATTAAAAATTGTTAGTACACCATAAATACAAGGGACCATTTCAAGACCCCCCAAAGCTTTCAACACACAAACACACAAAGCCAATCCAGGAAGCTGACACTGAGTCACACAGCGCCTGTCCTCACCCAGAGACAGCAGGTTCCGGAAGTTCTCCAGCATCACGTCTCCATACAGCTTCTTCTGGGCGGGGTCAAGCAGCCCCAGCTCCTCCTCCGTGAAGACCACAGCCACGTCCTTGAACGTCACTGCCTCCTACAACGCCAAGCACATATAACCTCAATCTCGCACCCAAAGGCCACTGGGAGCGGGGCAGCACGGAAAAGCTGGAGAGGATGGTGGGACGTAGTTCCAGAGTGTGAGGGACTCAAGTCCATCTGTAGGCTTCCAGGCGCTTCTCCTTCTACCCTGCCAATGCCACGGTGAGTTTCGTCAGCCTCACCAAAATGTGTGGCAATGACAACGTCCTTGTGTTTTTGTGTCCTCGTGGAGTCTACTTACAACGTCCTTGTGTTTTTGTGTCCTCGTGGAGTCTACTTACAAGTAACCGCCAAAAACTCTAAACACGCATCCTGGACAACACACGTTTTACTTCGCGACGCGTGGTGCTGACTGCCCCAGAAGCATTCAGCAATTTAGTTCAAGTTTGACAACACCCACATTCTTCCTCTCTCACACACACGAACCCTATCACTTTGCTTTCACATGTGCCACTAACGAGCTTTTCCTACCCTCGTGGGACAGCTACATGGTTCTCCCATGTAATGTTCAGCATCATGTTCCGGAGCCAGCAGGCCTCGGTGCGATTCCCAAGGGCCTGTGCCTTACTAGCTGTGTGACTTTGGACAAGTCTGTCCATGTCCCTGAGTTTCTTCTCCGTATGTGGTCCTTCTGTGACAGAGTTCCTTCAAGGATTAAACAAGGGAATATCCCTAACACTTGGAACAGTGCATGGCACAGAGTAAGTGCCTAACAGACCTTTATTATTCATATTATTTCTTCACGTTGCCATTATCAACAACTATCTCATCAGGGCACCCGGGTGGTTCAGCTGGTTAGCGTCCAATCTTGATTTTGGCTCAGGTCATGATCTCAGATCTCACGGTTGTGAACTCGAGCCCCAGGGTAGGGTCTGCACCAGGCGTGGAGCCTGCTTGGGATTCTCTCTCTCCCTCTGCCCTTCCCCCACTTGCATACACTTGCTCCCAAGCTCTCTAAAAAAATAAAAAATAAAAATATTTCCTCTCAGGGTGACTGGGTGGCTCATTGGTTAAGTGTCCAACTCTTCATTTCAGCTCAGGTCATGATCTCATGGTTAGAGAGTTCAAGCCCCACATCAGGCTCTGTGCTGGCAGTGCAGAACCCGCTTGGGATTCTCTCTCTTCTTCTCTCTCTGCCCCTCCCCCACTTGCTCTGGCTCTCTAAAATAAATAAATTAAAAAAATATTTCATCTCATTTTGTGGCTGTCATCCCAGAGAACAGAAAACTATATTTAATGATACCGATTGAACAGTATTTAATTTTACGTATTTTTCTCATTACAACGTATCCTGCAAAGAACATCATTTTACATAGACCTTGTTTCCCTGACCACTTGAAAATGATCGCAAACGAAAATTAAAACGTCAGAAATTAGCACGTTTAAAATTGTGATCATATAATGGCAGATTTTCTTCCCCCCCTTTTTCCTACACCGCTAATCTTTCAAAAGAATACAACAGTCCTGGGTCGCCTGGGTGGCTCAGTCGGTTAAGCGTCCGACTTTGGCTCAGGTCATGATCTCTCAGTCCTAGAGTTTGAGCCCCGCATCGAGCTCTGTGCTGACGGCTCAGAGCCTGGAGCCTGCTTCAGATTCTGTGTCTCCCTCTCTCTCTTGACCCTCCCCCGTTCATGCTCTGTCTCTGTCTCAAAAATAAATAAACGTTAAAAAAAAAAAAAAAAAAAAGGAATACAACAGTCCTGGGTCTCCAAATGACAGCCAAGAGCAGGCTATACATTTTTCCACGGTTTTGCTAATTTGGTTTACAAGAACAACTTGTATTATTATTGCCACTTATTTGACTGTAAATTAACATAATTACCTTTGAGATGTTTATTTGTGTTTCTCATTTTCACATGCTTACTCTCATCCTTGTTTGTATTTCACTGGATTTTTGCCCTTTACCATATGCATAAGATTCCTATTATGGGCTCTGCCTTTTTATTTTGGCATCCCTGTAGCAAGTATTTTTGCCCAAGGTTGTTGCTCCTGGTAATTCCGTATCAGGTATCTCTGGCCACAGAGAAATTTAAAGATTTTACATTTAAAATTTAAATTTTATAAACGACTGTGCTAACTGCTATCCACGTGCCTACAGCGCTGAGCAGGTCAGTGTGGCGGGGTGACTCTGAGAAAGGGGTCAGGGAGCAGGCTAGCTGTGGAAATCATCTCTCGAGGGGTGCCTGGGTGGCTCGGTTGGTTAAACGTCTGATTCTTGGTTTCAGCTCAGGTCACGATCTCATGGTTTGTGGGTTCAAGCCCTGCATTGGACTCTGTGCTGACAGCATGGAGCCTGCTTTTATTCTCGTTCTCTCTCTCTCTCTCTCTCTCTCTTCTCTCCACCCCTGCTCACGCTCTCTCTCAAAAATAAAAAAAATAAAAAACAGTAAAATCCCTAAACCACATACATGTCTTTGAACAGGAAGTAAAGATAAAAAGTACATCGATTCTGGGGTGCCTGGGTGGCGCAGTCGGTTAAGCGTCCGACTTCAGCCAGGTCACGATCTCGCACTCCGTGAGTTCGAGCCCCGCGTCGGGCTCTGGGCTGATGGCTCGGAGCCTGGAGCCTGTTTCTGATTCTGTGTCTCCCTCTCTCTCTGCCCCTCCCCCGTTCATGCTCTGTCTCTCTCTGTCCCAAAAATAATAAACGTTAAAAAAAAAAAAATTAAAAAAAAAAAAAAAGTACATCGATTCAATGGGGACAGGATGCAACTGTGAAAAATGAACATTACAAAACATTAAAGGAAAAAAATCAGAATTAAAATTAGATGTATATCACAAATACAAATTCAGTTATGGATAGTGACAAGGATGAGAGAGGGAGAAAATAAAAATAGCTCACTTGTCAGAAAGGAAGTAATGAATTGGAAGAATTGCTCATTTCTAGTAATTTTTCTACTCCGTAAGAAAAATAATAATAAAACAAAAACTAAAAATACGTGCAAAGTAAATTCAAAAGGGACAAGGGAAGACCCTGGCACAAAACAGGTCCTCAAACGCCTGGAGCTCTGCTTGAGTCATCCCCAGAAAAAGGTGTGACCATCTGAATAATGAGATGGAATCTGGAAAGTGAGAAAGGCAAGCCCTACTCACCTTGAACATGGCCACGGGTCCTCCTACTTCTGGCAGTGTGCAGAGTTGCACAGATCCCAGGAAGGCAGAACGGCGCCTGGTGGGGGGCCTAGGGAGGCGGAAAAAAGACATTAAAGGTAGCCCGGGATGTCACTCCCCTCCCATCCCGGGATGATTACTGGAAATCCGTACATGAGTGTTCACACTCCAACTGGAAACCACCGAAATGTCGACCTATGACCTACGCACGAATAAACAAATTGTGACAAATCTGTACAGTGGATGTTTTTCAGATACTTTTACTGTAATTAAAAGGAAGGAAGTATGGATCATGCTGCAACATGGATGAACCTGGTAAACGCTGCTGAAAGTCAAAGAAGCCAGTCACAAAAGGCCAGATATTTTATGATTCTATTTCTAGAAAATGTCCAGAAGAGGCAAATCTAAGGAGAAAGAAAGCAGGTTGGTGGTCACCTGGGTATTAGGGGAGAAAATGGAGGTGAACTGAAAATGGGCCTGAGGAATCCAACTGGGGGAATGAACACGTTCTAACTGAATTACAGCAATGGCTGCACCACTCAGCGAAGTTACTAAAAATCACCGATTTGTGCAACGAAAATGGGGAGATTCTATGATATGTACAATACACATCAAGTTGATATAAATAAATGTTTGTTCATCTACGTGTCATTTATAATTTTTTTTTTCAACGTTTATTTATTTTTTTGGAGACAGAGAGAGACAGAGCATGAACGGGGGAGGGGCAGAGAGAGAGGGAGACACAGAATCGGAAACAGGCTCCAGGCTCCGAGCCATCAGCCCAGAGCCTGACGCGGGGCTCGAACTCACGGACCGCGAGATCGTGACCTGGCTGAAGTCGGACGCTTAACCGACTGCGCCACCCAGGCGCCCCCATCTACGTGTCATTTAAATCACAAAACCAATTGACAGATTCTGAGTGCATCTTGATAAAAGTATTTATATTTGAGTGAATAAGGAGGGAACATGGGGAAGCCTGGCCTCACAGCAGAATGCCAACCAGTAAGTGTATCTCCCCATAAACTTTACTCATTTTGATTTAAAAAATAGTAACTTTAGGGGAGTCTGGCTGGTTCAGTCGGTAAAGCGTGCAACTCTAGCTCTGGGGGTTGTGAGTTCCAGCCCCACGCTGGGTATAGAGGTTACTTAAAAAATACAATCTTTAAAAAAAATATAATAAATAAAAATTAGTGACTTCGCAGTGGAGAAACCTAATAGAAATTACCTTAGCTTAGGTAACAACGTTGAGTTCACCGATATACGGACAGACCGACATCCTTTGGCTCCTGTTATGCTGCAATGTCAAGGACGCCTCAATGTTCTATGGGATTCCTGCTAATGACGCATTACTGAACCTAAACACGTAGTAAGTACATTTGATAAACCCCAAATGGAGAACTTTCTCCAAACTAACTTGCCTCTACACTCTTCAAAAGCATCAAGAACAGGGGCACCTGGCTCAGTCGATGGCACGTGTGACTCTTGCTCTCCGGGTTGTGAGTTCGGGCCCCACGTTGGGTGTAGAGCTTACGTGAAAAACAAAAAGTAAAAAAAAAAAAAAAAAAAAAAAAAGCACCATCAACAAAAAAGACAAAGGTTATGGAATGCATTCCACATTAAAGAACATCAAGTTTATGATAAAATTTTTGTACAATGTCTATCAACAAATATACAGTTTAAGGCAGTACGTAAAATTGGACTTTGAAATGAGTTAGGGGAGGGGACACTGGTTATAAGGCGTTTATACATGAAAAACAGAAAAAAATTACATAGAAGACTGCAGATTACAAACCAGGATGTTATATGTTATCTAGCATTATTTAATAAGTAACAACACCATTAACTACTATTTGTAATTACTTACTAAACATCTAACATCTGATAGATAACTCTATCATATACTATAACATCCAATATTACCAAGCACGGGATGTTAAAATTCTATAATCAGCCTCCCCTAAATCCTTTTTACCAAGATACCTGATTACCCATATGTGGGGCTTCCTTCCTTCAGAAAGCTAAAAGAAGCTGTTATTGAATCGCAGGTATATTCCTGGTGTTATGTGGTTGACGGAGCCACAAGACAGACAGGCAAAATTTAAACAACTGGGGAATTTGTGTAAAGACTATTTGAGGGGGCACCTAGATGGCTCAATCAGGTAAGCATCTGGCTCTTGATCTCAGCTCAGGTAGTGATTTCAAGGTTCGTGGGATTGAGCCCTGCATCAGGCTCTGCACAAGACAGCAAGGAGCCTGCTTGGGATTTTCTCTCTCCCTCTCTCTCTGCCCCTCTTCAACTCGCTCTCTCTCAAAACACGTAAGTTAGAAAAAAGAAAACAACTTAAAAAGAGTATATGAGAACTCCTTACACTAGTTTTGCAACTTTTCAATGGAAAAATTTTTAATTTTAAATTATGCAAAAATAAAGTCTTATACTGTCAGGAAATAGTCACAGGCACAACAATAATAACGGGAATAATAAAGATGATCATGAAATTAAATGGAAATTCATTTTTCTTGGCAATGTTTAAAAATTGGCCATAGCTCTGTGGCACCTTGCCTGGCTCAACTCTTGATCATATGAGCCCCACAACGGGTGTAGAGGTTACTTAAAAATCGTTAAAAAAAGGGGCGCCTGGGTGGCTCAGTCGATTAAGCCTCTGACTTCAGCTCAGGTCATGAAGTCACAGTTCATGAACTCGAGCCCCGCATCGGGCTCTGTGCTGTCAGTTCAGAGCCTGAAGCTTGCTTTGGATTCTGTGTCTCCCTCTCTGCCCCTCCCCTGCTTGTGTTCTGTCTCTCCCTCTCTCTCTCTCAAAAATAAATAAACATTAAAAAAAAATTTTTTTTAAATCGTAAACAAAATTTCCATAGTTAAAATACATCAGAGGTTACACACAGAAAAATATGATCATTGTGTAAAATGTTCATAAACAAACATATAAATATACACAACCACCAAATAGAAACGCATTAAAAGCTTCACAGTTATTATCTTTACATCCTCGATTACCAGGTAATTAAAATTTTTTCCAGAGCACCTGGGTGGCTCAGTCGGTTAAGTGTCCGACTTCAGCCCAGGTCATGATCTCGCGGTTCCCGAGTTCAAGCCCCGCGTAGGGCTCTGTGCTGACAGCTCGGAGCCTGGAGCCTGCTTACGATTCTGTGTCTCCTCCTTCTCTGTCTCTCCCGCACTCACACTCTCTCTCTCTAGTTTCAGCTCAGGTCATGTCTCATGGTTTCATGGGTTTGGGCCCCTATATTGGGCTATGTGCTGGCCCTGCTGAGCCTACTTGGGATTCTCTCTTTCCCTCCCCCACTCACAATGCCTCTGTCTCTCTCAAAATACATAAATAAACTTCAAAAAAAAAAAAAGAATAAAGCATATTACTAGTAATAAGCAGAATAAAATAGTTCACAATGCTTTTAAAAACTCAGAAAAGTCCAAGCCCGTTAGCCTTGCTTTTAAGGTCCTCCAGACCCAAGTACTAACTACCCCAGGGTCTGATGCCTGCTGGTTCCTACAGCCGCAGAACATGCTCAAGAGATTAGCAACCTGAGCTCTGGACTCAGGCTGCCTTCATTCCAACCCCAGTTCAGCCTCTTACTAGGTGGGGACTGTGGGCAAATCACTTATGCTCCCTGGGTCTCAATCTCATTTTACTGACTAGGAAAAAAAAAGGCAGAATTTCTTAGCATAGCTGTGGTGTGGCCCAATATATTTATTTGTATAAAACCATCATGGTTGAGGTTGGCAATTAAGGATTATTACTAATACCCATGCCCAATTACACAACCTATACATTATCTAATTGATGTGACTATCGTTGTAAAAGAAAAATGCCCAGGGGCCCCTGGGTGGCTCAGTCCGTTAAGCGTCTGACTCCTGATTTCTGCTCAGGTCATGATCTCAGGTAGGGAGAATGAGCAACCCCCCTCCTTTTCCTAGGCTGTGACAGGCTCTGTGCTGACAGCAGGGGGCCTGCTTGGGATTCTCTCTCTCTCCCTCTCTCCCCCTCCCCAACTCACCCACACACGCTTTCTCTCAAAATAAATAGAAAGAAAGAAAGAAAGAAAGAAAGAAAGAAAGAAAGAAAGA